TTTTTTTTTTATTGGAAATTTGTGCTACTAAGCTATGTTTGGTAAAACATAGTTGATAAGTAGTTGATAGCTGATAAGCTAGTTTAGAGTTTATCGGTAATTTTTGAGTTTATAGAATATAGCTTATGATTTATAGTTGAAAAAATAGCTTATATAATAAAAGTATTTGGTAAAATTGGTTTATAAACTAGCTGAAATAAAAATTTCAACGAGCTTATTTGAAAAGCTACCCAAAAAAGCTTATAAGATAAGATCGAGTTCTTTTAAAAAAGTTGGTCCTACCAAACGAGACTTATTTAAATACATGAAGCTTATAAGCCAATCAAATAAGTTATAAGCTAGTTAATTTGTCTACTATATAGTGTGACAGTCAATTTCAATTTGCCTTCACTTCTCCCAAAGCAAGGAGAAAATGATATGAGAAAATTCAACTACTGTTTGCCCTTTGGTAAATAAAGAGCAAACAAAAACCATGACAATCCCCAAAAATTCCAAAAAACAAGAGAAAAATAAAAGAAGCATAACATTTGCAAATCTCTGCATTAAGCTCTTGCCCAATTAAAACTTCCACTTGGTTTTCTCCACTTGTTGATCACCTATTCATTCATCACCAAAATTCCACCAGCAAAACTTGTTTTGGTATTCAAATCTTCTGCATCAACCAATACCCTCCCACATGCATCTAAATCAAATTATTTGCATCAAAATCTCCCTCACACAATTCACATCCCATTTTTCCCCTCTCGATTATTCGAGCCGTACGCCCTCAAACTCCCACCGGATGAGGATTATCGAGCACCTCCAAATTATGTAAAAACGCGTCCTTTGCTCTTGCACAAAACGGCTACACTTCCGCCACGAGAAAAACTTCCGCACTCGGGTCAAGCCCATGATCTTCGAACGATGACAATCTTGATTTCGAGAATGTGATCAGGTATATTATGTGCCCTTTATCTTGATTTAAAGGAATTGAAACAAAGGGCTTTCTTTTTGTAATAAAGGGAGTTTTTGTGAATATATACTAGTTTCAGGATAGAGGAAATGAGGAGTTTGTGGTGGTTGGACAGGTGGTGTGCTCTGATTGGTGGGATTCTGTTGCCAGCTTGCAAAAGGGGGCCCTTTCTTGTTTGAGGAAAAAGATGAAATATGCAGAGTCATCAGTTTGTCTCCATGCATGCAACTTCATGGAGAGGACACAATCTTTGGATAAATTTTGTTTATCTATCTTTTTACTCACTCTTATTTTTTTTAAATGTCATTCTAGCCTTTTCAACTATTTGCCAAATAAATGTCGTTTTAGATTTTTTGTACATATTTTTCCATTATTACCCTCATTTAGCCAATAAATACATTACGTCTTTTCATATTCACTCTTCACTTTTTTTCAAAACATTCATCTCTATCTTCATTAAATAAGGTTATTATTGACAAAAAAAATATTTTTAACTAGTGTGCAACTTTTCAAAACGACATATATTAAAAATAGGAGGTAGTATTTGTTTGTCTGTCTTAATATGCACTGGGAAATGGAACTGCAAAAGCCCTGATTTTCAGGGGAAATTGTCTTGCTGGCTAGTGTGTGAGTGTTGGTGTTCTTTGTTTTCTTATTTTGTTTTTCTTTATTTGCATTTAATGCCTCTTATTATGTTATTTTGTTGCTAGTCTGTCTTTTTCTACTTTCGCTAGTATTCGATCCAATATATTTACACATATATAAAAAAAAATACTATAAATTATTTGTACGCATATAATGTTAATATTATAAGTTAGATGATAATACTATATTTCAAACAAAAGGTATTAGAAGCTACATCTTTGCATATAATATTAAAATTATAAGTTAGATAACAGTATTATATTTAAAAATTTGATCATTGGTTAAAATAAATAGTAAATAACGGCTTGACTGCATACGAGTCACTATATTGGTTGCACAAAATGAAGTAATTTCTGTAATGTTGAGGGATCGTGACCAATTAATTAGCTGAAAAATATTAAATTTATTATAACAATTGGAATGTGATTTAAATAAATTTTACTACGACATTAAAGAAATTAGATGTTTAAAAAAACAATCGCTTAATAAGATAAAAATAATAATATTGCATTTAGAATAAATAACTTGTTGGTTGCACAGACGTAAATAAATATTGGTATAATAAATCGCTTAATCACTATATTGGTTGCACATAAATAAATAAATACTATAAATGTAATATCAATATTGTAAGTTAGATGATAATATTATATTTTAAACAAAAGGTATTATAAGTTAGATAATAGTATTATTTTTTAAAATTTGATTATTGGTTAAAATAAATAGTAACGGTTTGATTGCATACGAATCACTATATTGGGGTCTCTTATTTAATTAAAAAAAAAAAATCGGTGGCAAAAAATAAAAGAAAAAAAAAATACTGTGGACAAGAATCAACACGGATTATGGAAATTCGTTTTTCTTACAGGAACGGATTTTCATAATCTATTTTTTTTTAAACGGATTTTCATTTTTTTTTTAATTCGGATTGTGAAATTCGGGCTCGTTAGGGCTCGTCCGAACTCGAAATTGAGTTCTGTTTTTTCCTACATGTCGCCAACGAAGCCTTCTACGTATTTATGCTTTCGAATCTAATTTAATCTTGAAAACCTATTCTCCCAAAGCTCTTGACTTGAAGTTGGCAGCTTTCGTGCACGACTTCGCATATCGGGCCCGTTCGGACTCGTCCGAACTCGAAATTGAGTTTCGATTCTTTCTACATGTCGCCAGTGAATCCTACTACTAGAACATGCTTTCATGACCACTTTTTGGACTGCAACTATTCCTTGCGGGGCTTCCAGCAAAAACGGAGAAAAAGAAGAAAACTAGCAAAATTCGGGCTCGTTTGGGCTCGTCCGAACTCGAAATTGAGTTCCGTTTTTTCCTACATGTCGCCAACGAAGCCTTCTATATAATTATGCTTTCAAATCCAATCTATTCATGAAAACCTATTATCCCAAATATCTTGACCTGAAGTTGGCGGCTTTCTTGCACGACTTCGCATATCGGGACCGTTAGGACTCGTTCGAACTGAAATTGAGTTTCGATTCTTCCTACATGTCGCCAACGAATCCTACTACTAGAGAATGCTTTTCTGACGAATTTTTGGGCTGGAACTATTCCTTGCGGGGCTTCCGGCCTAAAACGGGGGAAAATAATAAAAAAACAAAGAAGACTAGCAAAATTCAGGCTCGTTTGGGCTCGTCCGAACTCGAAATTGAATTATGTTTTTCTCTACATGTCGCCAACAAAGCCTTCTATGTAATTATGCTTTTAAATCTAACCTATTCTTGAAAACCTATTATCTCGAAGCTCTTGACCTGAAGTTGGCAGATTCCTTACACGACTTCGCATATCGGGACCGTTCGGACTTGTCTGAACTCGAAATTGAGTTTCAATTCTTCCTACATGTCGCCAACGAATCCTACTATTTGAGCATGCTTTTACAGCAAATGTTTGGGCTGAAAATATCTATTGGCGGGCTTCCGACCTAAAATGGGGGGGGGGGGAAAGAAAAAAGAAAAAACTAGCAAAATTGTACTAATTTGAGTTCGATTGGACAAATTGATTACACCATAATTGACCGTGATTATTGTAATTGATCTATATCTATATCGGACCAGGAAAGAAGAACCAAAGCGCGCGCAAGGGTTCTGAAAAGAGAGCCAACTCCGTTGAGGAGTGGAAGTCGAATTAGTCCAATCGAAGTAAAATTACTATAATCGAAATCAAATTAGTATAATCGAAATAAAATTAGTCCAATCGAAGTCAAATTAGTCCAATCGAACTCGAATTAGTCCAATCGAAATCAAATTAGTACAATCGAAGTCAAATTAGTCCAATCGAAGTCAAATTAGTACAATCGAAATCCAATTAGTCCAATTGAAGTCAAATTAGTCCAATCAAACTCTAATTAGGCCAATCGAAGTCAAATTAGTATAATTGAACTCGAATTAGTCCAATCATGGTCAGTTATAGTGTAATCGAACTCGAATTAGTCCAACGAAGTCAAATTACTATAATCAAAGTCAAATTAGTTTAATCCAAATCAAATTAGTCAAATCGAAGTTAAATTAGTCCAATCGAACTCGAATTAGTCCAATCGAAATCAAATTAGTACAATCGAAATTAAATTAGTACAATCGAAGTCAAATTAGTACAATCGAAGTCAAATTAGTACAATCGAAGTCAAATTAGTACAATCGATGTCTAATTACTATAATCGAAGTCAAATTAGTACAATCGAAGTTAAATTAGTACAATTGAAGTCAAATTAGTACAATCAAAGTCAAATTAGTCCAATCAAAGTCGAATTAGTACAACCGAAGTCAAATTAGTACACTCGAAGTCAAATTAGTACACTCGAAGTCAAATTAGTACACTCGAAGTCAAATTACTACAATCGAAGTCAAATTACTATAATCGAAGTCAAATTAGTACAATCGAAGTCAATTATACTAAAATCGAAGTCGAATTAGTCCAATCGAAGACAAATTAGTACAATCAAAGTCAAATTAGTACAATCGAAGTCAATTATGGTGTAATCAAACTCGAACTAGTCCAATATAAAGTCAAATTAGTACAATCTCGGTCAATTATGGTGTAATCGAACTCGAATTAGTCTAATATGAAGTCAAATTAGTACAATCTCGGTCAATTATGGTGTAATCGAACTCGAATTAGTCCAATATGAAGTCAAATTAGTACAACATCGTTCAATTATGGTGTAATCGAACTCGAATTAGTCCAATTGAAGTCAAATTAGTACAATCTCGGTCAATTATGGTGTAATCGAACTCGAATTAGTCCAATTGAAGTCAAATTAGCACAATCTCGGGAAATTATGGTGTAATCGAACTCGAATTAGTCCAATTGAACTTGTTAGTACAATCTCGGTCAATAATAGTGTAATTGAACTCGAATTAGTCCAATTGAAGTCAAATTAATACAATTTTGCTAGTTTTTTTCGTTTTTCTTCTTGTTTTCACCGTTTTAGGTCGGAATCCCCGCAAGAAATATTCCCCTAAAAATTTCCCTAAAAGCATGCTCAAGTAGTGGGATTCATTGCCGACATGTAGAAAGAATCGAAACTCAATTTCAAGTTTAGACAAGTCCGAACGGTCCCGATATGCAAAGTCGTGCAAGGAAGCCGCCAACTTCAGGTCAAGAGCTTTGAGATAGTAGGTTTTCAAGAATAAGTTGGATTTGAAAGCATAATTACATAGAAGGCTTCGTTGACGACATGTAGGAATAAACGAAATTCAATTTCGAGTTCGGACGAGCCCAAACGAGCCTGAATTTTGCTAGTCTTCTTCATTTTTTTGTTCTTTTCCCCCGTTTTAGGTTGGAAGCCCCGCAAGGAATAGTTCCAGCCCAAAAATTGGTCAGAAAAGCATGCTCTAGTAGTAGGATTCGTTGGCGACATGTAGGAAGAATCAAAAACTCAATTTCGAGTTCGGAGGAGTCCTAACGGTCCCGATATGCGAAGTCGTGCAAAAGAAAGCCGCCAACTTCAGGTCAAGAGTTTTGGGATAATAGGTTTTCATGAATAGGTTGTATTTGAAAGCATAATTATATAGAAGGCTTCGTTGGCGACATGTAGGAAAAAACGGAATTCAATTTCGAGTTCGGACGAGCCCAAACGAGCCCGAAGTTTGCTAGTTTTCTTTGTTTTTTTTATTCTTTTTCCCCGTTTTTGGCCGGAAGCCCCGCAAGAAATAGTTCTAGCCCGAACATTTGTCAAGAAAGCATGCTCTAGTAGTAGGATTCGTTGGCGACATGTAGGAAGAATCAAAACTCAATTTCGAGTTCGGACGAGTCCAAACGGGCCCGATATGCGAAGTCATGCACGGAAGCTGTCAACTTTAGGTCAAGAGCTTTGGGAGAATATGTTTTGAAGAATAAATTAGATTCGAAAGCATAGATACGTAGAAGGCTTCGTTGACGACATGTAGAAAAAAACAGAACTCAATTCCGAGTTCGGACGAACCCTAACGAGCCTGAATTTCACAATCTGATCTAAAAAAAATTGAAAATCCGTTTAAAAAAAAAGAAGTATTATGGAAATCCATTTATCTAATAAAAACGAATTTCCACAATCCGTCTATTTGATTCTTGTCCACCTCGTTTTAAATGATTCATGAATTGTGCAGTTTTATTCATGAATTGGTTGCACAAAATGTAGTTATTTTTGTAATATTTAGGGATCATGACCAATTAACTGAAAATTATTAAATTTATTATAACAATTGCTTATACGATTTAAATAAACTTTACTATGGCATTAAAGAAATCAATTTTCTAAAAAAACAATCGTTTAATCAATTAAAAAAGTTATACTGAGTTTAGAATAAATAACTTGAACAAAAAGTTTTTGCAATATAACCGTTTATATTTAAGTAACTTTCATATATTATTTAGTGTAAAATTTAGATATAACTTTTAATAATAAATTATATTATTATTAAGAAATATAATTATTACTCAATTAATATAATATGTAACATGTAACTATTTTGTCTTAATTATCCCAAAAAAAAACTGATGAAACATTTTATCGTTAACGAGATATATTGAATACACCCATAAATTTTAGAATTTTTTTTGTTGTCTAACGATAGAAATAAAAGTGGAAAAGATTGATTCAAACACACACACACACACACACA